AAAAGGTCAAAAATTTTGCCCCAGACGGCACGCACGCTGCTTGCTTAAATCTCCCGTAAACGAATGTAATTCTATATGTTACGACCAAATATATACCAACAATCTTAAATAAATAATTTATAATTTTTTTTTGAGTAACAAATTTATAATTTATTAAAATATGCATTAATCATTTTCAATGATATAGAAATGAAATAAAATGATGCCAATATCCACCCAATCATATGAATGGATACACTGAAGATTGAGCTCGATTGGTGATCGATCAATGCTGACGTGGAAGAATACTAATAGAAAAGACGATCATATATATTGTGTTGATATCACATAGAAGAGATCTTCCAAGTAGAAAGAAAGCAATTAATACACTCAAGATAGAGAGAGAAGCTCTCGGTTTTTCAGTCGAGAATAGAGTGAGAAAAAAGAGAGAGAGTCTGACAGAAAGGATCGCCATTGTTGCTCATTTTTCGATCCTGAGCTATGAGATAGTGATTTCTTGAGAGTTGTATTGTAATTATAATCTCAAACTAATCATCGATAAAAGTAATTGTGGTGGCTGCTCTAAAGTGGATATAGATCTCACTCATCGAACCATAGTAAATCATGTGCATGTTAATTTCTTAGTGTGTACGTGGGCCCGATCATCTTTAACACTTATTTACTTTTAGTTTCTCTTTCCGGGGAAAAAAAGAGAGAGAAAAATTGACTCGAACCCCTATAAAGTCTTAGTATTATTTTCGAAATTTCGCCCCGAAGCCCTTTATATATATATTTTGCTTTATTAAAACAGTATGTCGCAGATCGGAGGGCATTATGTATGATGTGTATTTTTAATTTTATATTGAATTAAGTATGCATATTTAAATTTTAATTAATATATAAGAAAATACTAACTAATTAAGGTTTAATTAATGTTTTGTTTAAGCTGCATATGATATGGAGTAAGAGTCAAAGACACATAACATGCATCGAACCAATTGTAAATTATTTGGAGATGATAAAAAAATAATAGTTCAATGATGAGTTAAGATTCTTTTTCTTGCATGGATCAAGTCTATGACGTCAGCTGATCAGATTAGATTTTAGTGAGTCTAAACTATAGTACAAGTAAGCAATTTAATTTCTTGATATAGTATATAGTTTATAAGTATATGATAATAATAGAAAATAATATTCAATGTCAAGAGGATAATGCATTATAAAAAGTTATACAATTTAAAAAATTGTCAAAAAAAAAAAAAAGAAAATATAAAATAAAATAAAATAATTGCAATCATGGAATGTCGAAACTTTGTCCGCGGCAAAATTACCGGGCTAAATATCGACAAATTAGTTTCGCTCGAATCTGAAAACTATTCCGATCCAATTTTTATGGTTCGGTTGATGGTTGATAACCGAATATTGAGTTTTGAAATGGGTCGATTGATATACGTTAGTTAAAAAAACATATATTTTTTTTATAATTTCAATATTCACTTGAAAGAAACCAAATCCCTCATTTTATATTTTTTTTAATAATTTTTTAATGAATATAGTTAGTTCACCCATAATTATTATACAATCGGCTTTTAATAATATTAGTAACTATCAACCGACCGATTATAAATGGGTTGATCAGAAATTTCGCCCCAACCTAATGGATCAGTTAAAAATTCATTATCCATCTGAAAATATGGTCAGTCTCATTAAATATGGTGAGTCATGAGTCGATTGATGAGTAAAAATCAATCCCGTACGAACAAGATTTTAATCACTTGCAAATATTTTACATGAACAAATTTTTTATTTAGTATCTATCCAAAATCTTGTCAACGCCTATAGTCCTTATTCTTCGGAAACCTTAGTAATTGCAAAAATATATACTAAATCTTTTTTATGTTGTTTCAAGAAATTACCATATTTTTCACTAAACTTACTATTATATGTGTTTAA